GATTAAAAACAACACCAAGTAATTGGAATGAACTTTAAAATGAAATGATTTTGATGATGAAACACATATGTTTATAAACTGTATACGAACAGACAAATTTTGGGAAATTTTCAATGTCTCATTAAAAGTAATTTTAAATTAAATGTCAAAGTAAATCCAAATTAAATAGTACTTGCTGTCACAAATTATAAACAACACAACCGAGTATTAAATTTTTTTTATACACTAGCAGCATTTACTATTTACAAGACATGGTTATCAGCTGATACAATAGAGAAAAAAAACCCCAATATATCCAATTTTTTTAGCCGAACTAAAAATTTTATTACATTTTAGTTCAACAAGGTTTATTAGAATGAAAACAAAATAAATGGCAAAATAGTTCAACAACGAAGAATACCTAAATGTTATTTGCTTTTTTCTGATAGAGTGTACATGGCCTTTTATTTTTGAATAATTTTATTCTTGTACTGTATATCATATGAAAATGTAAAAAGTGAAAATGAATAACGGTGGGTGCACCTACAAAAGAAAAAAAAAACTTTGAAACCTATGACAAACATTAAGGGCCGGTGAAAAACGTTCAGATCCAATGAAAACGTTGAGACACAGGATAAACATTAAGGGTTAGCGCAAACCACAAACATTGGCTCCAACCCCTAATGTTTTTGCTTTGTGCAACATATCTAGGTATTCTGTTGCCTATATCAGATAGTAACGCTCCTTAATAGTACTTCCCCTAACAGCTCTGCTTATTATAAACCATACTCAAAATAAAGTAAGACTCGTCATTGTGATTCAATATTTCGATTTGTTATTAGATCATCATCGGGAATTGTCATTCTAATTAATGCGCAATCTAGTTGCATAACATAATGCGGTGTGCCCCAATATACATTAAGTAAAATTAATTCTTCTTTCAAGAGTAGCTAGCGCTAAAGTCTGGAACAAACTACCAGCTGATATTAAACACTCGTTCTCAATAAATCATTTAAATCTAGGAATAAGTCTTATGTATTTTCCTGTATCCTATTGTATTATACTTTTATGTGACAGAACCACAGAGAAAAACAGGTTTATACTTGACTGTGAAATCCTGTATAAATATATTATTTATTATTATTTATTATTATTATTATTATTATTATTATTATTATTATTATTATTATTATTATTATTATTATTATTATTATTATTATTATTATTATTATTATTACATAACAACAACAAAACTACTTTTGGACTCAACATGCCGTAGATATTTATTATTTGGTACTTTTCAAAGCTTTCACGGTAAGTCTACAAGAAATTGCGAATCGTCCTCAATACGCATGTAGGCCTATGAGTTATGTTGAAGTTTGATCACACTAGCAGGCATCAGAAGCAACCGTAAGTGGTTTGACACAGAATTTAGCTAGTACTCGAGTATTGTCTCATCTTCCTTTTACGAAAAAGTTCAATGTTCGGGGACGTTACGTGGCAAGCACCCAAAAGCAGAACGTATTTATTTGCTGTACGATTGCGTACGTCTAAATTGCTGCGAACTAAGCTTAACAGAAGATGTCATTCACTGGATTCCTTTTCATGGCTTCAGCAGAGAGCAGCCATATTACTGTACATTCAGTTTCCATCGTTATCTCGTCACATTCAATATCAACTTGCACAGGATTTAGACGACGCGGTATAGATGTACGCGAGCAAGATCATCAATATCATCCGGATCAAGATCGATGTGATCATGTACCAGGGGTACTTCGTCCACCCAAGAAGACATATCGATATCCATCTGAAAAAAGCAGACATAACATAAAAAAATATCTTATATATCCCGACTGTTTGTTAACACAACAGTTTAGCATGCAAAACGACATAGTTTTTGGCGGGCCCTCATCTGCTTGTCAAAATTGATAGGTTAGCCACGGTTGAGATAGCAGTGGCGTATCTAGAGGTTCCCACTAAAAAAAAAAAAGCTTGCCCCACCCCCAGTCGCCCCCACTGAAAATGTTGGAAGCAAAAAAAACAAAAAAAAAAAAAAAAAGAATCACGCTCAAGGAATTAAAAATCACCTTATTGTTTGCGAGCTAGTGCCACCTTACTTAATCATCGAGACCCCACTTCACCCATCAACACCCCCATTACAAGACCCTTTTAAATACGTCACTGTGGGATAGGCCTACAAAATAAATACAGACAACACTGAATACGAAATTAGATGAAAATACTAATTATTAATTTTTATTTCTTATTTACACAGGGAATAAGGACTCCTCTGGAAATAAGATTGTTTTACATCTTCTGTGGGATCCTTAGTTCCGCTGTTTTTCATGTTTCTTGTTGTTGACTTTAATGAACTTTTCTCCTGTTTGTATAAGCTTTTTATCTGTTTTAATATTTTTCTTGTTTTTGCATCTTTTATCACCGTATTTTATCTGTATGTATGTTTATTGGAACCAAATAAATTCAAATCAAATCAAATATATTTAGTATAAGGGTACAGATCTCCAACACAGCCCAATTAAATCTTATAAACTACAAGTTCCATGACTAAGTAGTGAAGAAAAAATCCTAGTTTCTTCAGGACGAAAGTGTCATGATGTGAGAAGAAAAGTTATTCCACTAAATAATGTGTATTTACTTCCTTGTTTTGTAATAAAGTTTGGCTGGATAATGAAAATGAAAATTTGTGTGGAAGTGAAATCAACAAAGCCTTTGTTGAGCTCAACAATTAGTAAAATATAATTCAATATTCGACTGCTTACAATGTGTATGTTAAATAAGTTGTTAGTTTTCATTTAAAAATTAGAACAAGACCATTTAAACGTCTGTAAATCTGAAGAAAAAAAAACTGAATTGCAGTGGATATTCAGCCGGTACAAGGGCTATACACTTACAGAGCAATTTTTCGATAATTAGTGAGGGCGCACTCAAGTCCTAATATTTAGAATAGGCACTTTCGAGTTTATAACCGGTAAAATCCCGTTTTTTTGTTGTTTTAAATAAGCAATTAGTTGAGTTTTTATTTTCAAGTTTTACCAGATACAGATTTCGTTATTGTCCATATCTTTGAAAATTACAATGCTCCTGACTGCTAATACAATTGTTACATTATTTTAAATACAACCTTTAATACCACAAGCTAACATTGTATCTTTAACATAACCACATAGATTATATTATAGTGAGATAGAGTTTTTGCTGGTTCAATATTCTTTTTTTTTTGCTAGTTAGGGGAAACGTGCTCTTGGCAAATCACAATGGGACGTTCACATCGAGGTGAAAAACAGGAAAGAGCTGATAATCTCGCTGATGTTACTCAAGCTGGTGTCCAGGTTACTTAAAGGCCAAATAAATATAATGATATTAACAATGGCAAAGATGTCGTCATTATTTTGTTCCAATTATTTAGACTTACAACACAATGTGTAGACCTCGTTGTGAATTATTACGTGCCTAAACGCCCTGAAGTTACAAGGCTATCGTCGTAGGAATAACTTCGCCGCAATTTCGGTTATTTTGCGGTCATAATTGGTGTGTTCCCGTGGTGTTACGTGCCATTATGACGTCACTAAACTCATTAGTAACAGTTGCGCAATGAAACTTCTAGTCTTCTGTCATATTCTCAATAGCATTAACAAAACCCACCACATGTCATAATCAAGGAGGTTCCTTTTATATGCAATGCTTTCATTTAAATTAACACCACTCAAACAATTACTACCAAAGAAAAACGCACACATCTCAAAGCCGTCTCGCGCAGGTAGTTTGCAGAAATTTGCCGAAATTTGGTTATATGCCTAGGCCTACCGTAAAATGTTAAAAGGTCATGCTCGATGAAAACATATAGCTTAGTAAAGAGCGCAAGGTCTTCCTATTTTGTATGTTTCGAACCCCTTGATGTTAATAAGCGGGTGGGGTGGGGGGTAACCTACGAGATGATGAGCATTACCTTTAAATAGTCTGTCATTTCTTCAATGCTTGGAATGGTAACAACCATGCCTCCTTTTTTCCTTATAGACTTAGATAAAAATTCCCAAATTCTAGAACCAAACAGAAATAACCTTTAAGAGTTTAAATGTAAATTATCTAAAAATAGTATTCTATTAATGGATAGGAAAAGATAAGACAAAAATATAACATGAACAGTTGGTGAAGGAGATGAAAAGGTACGGTATCTGGAATCAATCGACCATTCATGGCCGATGACGACGATAATGATAATCATAATAATGATGATAGTTAATGCATACATATAAAGTAAGAGCTTATAGAAAACGTAACTTATCCGCAAATATGGTTGATACTGTTTTTACTGTCTAACATATTGATACTTAACACTAAACATCCGTTTTATTGAGAGCAGGAGTGGCTTTTCCACTGTTCCACGTTTTGTTTTACTTTTAAATTTACCAAGGCGAGCAGTGAACATTTTACTAGGAAATGATATTCGGGTGGATTAAGCCAATGAAGGAAACAAGTGTTAGCGAGGGTCTATCGGGAAAAAGGAAAATATGAACTCAATCAGTCCTTTTTTATTCAAAGTATATGGATATATAACTGTAGCCGCTACCGTTTAAGGTTTGATAACTAGATGAACTAGGTCAACAGACTATGAATAATTGTGTCACTCTCTTCTCATGTCTCATAAACGGTTTCACAATTTAAAAAAGATGAAGACGACGATGGTTCTGGCTATTACTACAATAATAGGGAGTTTTCGCAAGCTTTCGAAAACGACAACGAATACGGTTACGTGCATATCTGTAACAACGTAGGCGATCCATGCCTTTTGCATGAATCAAGCAATAATGACGATAATGACGTATTCGTATTCGTTATCGTTTCAGTAAGATTGCGAAATTTCCCTAATGTTGGCAAGAGACCATTTTACTCAGCATATCTATTAGAATGATTAATCTGAGCATAAAAAAACTTACTTGACTTGTTGTTCTTTACTTGCAAAAAATTTAAACACATTATGCATAACCACAACGTCGGCTAGAAATAATTAATGATAACTTGTAAAAACATATAAGGTAAATTGGTTTGTAAAATGTAAAATGTACTTATTTATATATAAAAAAGGTATACGAATATGTTCGTATATGGGCGACATATTTAGTTAATGTCGTTTTTCAAATTAAGGTTAATTTGTGTCTCTTTGCTGATTTGGACTTGCATTATATAGGCTATATACATACATATATATATATATACATATATATATACCTGTCTCTTATACACATCTATCAAATCACAACAATGATTTTGAAACTTTGCCAGGCTTCATGCAAAAGAATTACAAAAAATAATAATAGAAGATTCTGTGCCAAAACCAGATACCGATTCCGTTTCTGGTATGGTTGGCGACCTGGAGGTGCCCATTAATTTCCAAAAATAATAAAACAATCAGATAATAACTTCCCACCTTCCGACAAAGTTTCTTCTTGGTCCATAACATTCGCACACACAATCTAAAACCGAATCGCACACAATCGAAATAGTAACATAAAATAGTAAACAGTTCACCATGCAAATAACGTATTGATATAAACGAATTTTGATAATGACAGAAGTTTAATTCAATGTAAAAAAAAAATGACTTTTTTCCCTTAAAACTGATTAACGTTTAATATTTGTTTTCCTGTTTGTTTTACTGAGCCTTCCATTAACTAAAATGTTCAACTATTACATAGACAATTATTCCAATGATCAAATTACCACAAACGGATGTAAAAACATGCACACAACGAAACTAAATATATGCTTACTAATGTTACTGCATGCAGGTACACCCAAGGAAAATGTTATAAATGGGCCCACGAGTTATAAAAATATCTAATACAGTAGAACTAAATTTCTGCTGTGAATTCGAACATAACCTTGGTGGTAAAATCAAAACATTATTTCTCAATTGTTCCTATATGCATATTTATTGGGCCTGTTATTTTGAGGTTTAGACCTAATACTTATCTGAAACGATTAGTCACAATTCATAGTGTGTTACTGTAGGTTTAAAGTCTCCTTTAGATTTACGTCATAAAGCCACATCTCATTCTTCGACGAATTCCCTGTTGTTTTAACATCCAGATGGGAGCCAAATACAACACAAGTGTTTTTTTTTTTTTTTTTTTTTTATAGTGGGGATTGACTAAGTAACTGTCACCAACGAGGATTTAACCAAATTAAAAGTACAGAAAACGAGTTGTGTTGCTCAAACATAGGCCTAACATTTTTAAAATCAGAGTTGGTTGGCCGGGATTTTTGTTTAGCATGTTAATAAGGTCCCATGCCTAATTCTACAACTCGTTGTCTATCACACACCCACACCATGTAAAAAATCCAACACTTTTTTTTCGTGATATTTGATCCGTTAGGCTTTAAGAAACGATAAAGTGGTTCTTGTCCTTATCAAGTTAAATGTCCAGCAAGTCGAATACACCTAAACAAATCCTTAAGTTAAAACTATTTTCCGAAACAAATTGATTGAGGATGGAGGCATGAATTACGCCTAAGAATAATAGGCCTACGATCGTGTCAGAGGACAATTACCTTTACTCGTTCAGCCATCTGATATTTCTCTATGACGTAGTTTTGTAATCTACAGAGATCACCATTCACTTCGATTCCCACAATTTTAGTCGAATTGCTGTAATAGTAGCCCTGTGTATTATCAAGACAATATTAATTAATTTACCGTCCAGATAATTATAAGTAACGTAATGGCTGCGAAAATAGGCATTTTTCCCTATTCGACTGGTCGTTAATTCTTTGTTAAACCACGCCCACATGCACAGTTGTAAAATGCAACTTAACGAAGAAGACCAGTAGAATAGAAAACATACTCATCAAAAGAAAATGGCAAGGTTGTGGCAGTACAGGTCTTTCGTAAAAAAATGTTTTCATCCAAGTTGTTTAATTCTGTTAGTCTACCATTATTATTATACTTCATGTGGGTAAAAATTATAATTTTTACTTTCTGAAATTTAATCTAAATTATATTAACGCAAATGTTGTATTGTTGCTAAACCAATCGGCCATGGTTGTTTTGGTTACGTGGATAACTTAACGCACTTTGATTTCTGTTAATTTTCGTTGTCAACGAAGTCTATTTCACGAACCAGTCGAATGAAAATAATACTCAACTAAAAATCGTAGTCAACAAAATAAACCAGTCGAATAAGTCCAAAGTAAATCTATAATAACCTTTGTCATGATATTAGAATGGTAGTTAAGTTGGCTTATCAAAAATGCAAGAAACAAAGGCTAAATCACAATCGGTCATTGTCACTTCGGGATACTGCTGGAAGTTCCTGTTGTTTATACAGTCACCTCAAAAAGTACACTAAGTGAATGAACGCCAATAGGCCTAGTTCTTATTCAAAGTGTGTAAGTCGATAAGTTAGGCCTATGTCTACATCCCCAGCTAACGATTATAAATAACGGTTCAAATAGCGTTGCAATCACGTTCTTCTTGCCCAGGTGCCGCCCTCATATTGACGATTTTGCAGCTATAGGCCTAATGGGCCCATTTAGTCCTACAACGTTGCTGCTTGGCATTGACAACGTTTTTGTACAACCACCTTTCTCGTATTATTATAAATAACGTTGAAAACGTTGTGTTAAGTCAGTTTCTGATATAGCCTAGCCGCAACAATCACGAGTCACATTTTAACGTTTTGCGTTCTCTGGGTTGTAGCTATACTATTATGTTATTTAGATAAACACAGTTACAGCCAGAACACACATTTATAAATAATTAGGATGAGGCCCTGGCCTATTTCTGGACAACAACGTAGATGCGTGCAACAACTCCTGGCAATGACAGACTTACAAGCAACAGTACCAAATTTTGGCGGTGAACACGTATGAAATTTTAGAAAGGGCTACTTGTACGAATTTGTAGCTAGCTGGGAATGGCTGTTGAGGTGATGTCTCTGGGGATATCTAATGCCTAAAAAAAAATAAGATGTAGTGTTGCTGTCTGCAACATTTCTTGTACTGTTGTTGAATTAAGTTGAATACTTATGATTACTTATGGCTGTACGATTTAAACCATACCCTGGTTGAAATTCAATTCATAGAAGGACGCCATCATACGTAGCTCGTGTGTTTGTTACACCACGGGAGGCGTGATTGCGCCCGCAAAGGAAGTGAAAGCTTTTGGACACTTGTAGTTATGGTCCCAAAGCAGCTATAGCTCGACAATAGCATAAAGTTATTAATATTTCTGAAATTCCATGCTTTTTATTTAATAGTAAAAGCACATGGTACTGCTTCATAAGGGTATGGTTCCAGAAAGCACTTATTCAGGGTTAAAGAAACTTGTAAGAAAACCACTACGTTTCTCAGCATACAAGATCTGATAATTGTTGATTATCTCATTTAATTTTAAGTCTATGCTTATCTACACTCAATCATCAAATGTCATATTTAAAATAATCAATATACATTGATAGTTGATCATAAATTGCAACCATTATCGACGTTACAATTATTTCAATAACTTAAAAGTATTACCGGTATCATATTTACAACAGATCACTTACTCCATAAAGTATTGGTCCGAGACGAGAGCCAATATCAACAAGTACTTTTCCGGTGAGGTCTGGAAGAACATCGTTGAATATGTACTTTAGCTGAACTATGGATGCTGAGTGAGAGATAAAGGCTGAAATTTAAAGTAGTAAAATTGTGGCTATTGCTTACATTACAATTAATATCAAATTCTCTTACATTTGCCTATAGGCCTACTGTGTTTCCCGACGTAGTACATTTACCCCAAAGAATAAAACATTATCTTAAAAGAAGAATGTAAAAAGTTCTAAAATTTTTAATTTCTGAATGGTAAAACATTGTCATATTTGTTTACATTATAGTTGCTTTTTTCGTTTGGTCGATCATTTCAACTCTTATCTTTGAAATCGATCGATATACAAAATTTCGTTTACCTTCGCGAAATAAGACTTTTGTTGTGATAAATATGGAAATCACTCCTTTAAAACGCATCAGAAGTAAGTTCATATAATTGTAATGATGTTAAAGTTATCTATTGAAATTTCAACATTAACTTAATTTTATTATTGATATGGGATGTTAACTGCGTTAGATGTAAAGACCGTAGCATAATGAGCAAACATACGTATGAACTTTCAATTTATTTAATACAGACATACCAATCCATCTTAATCTAGCTAATGAACTGAATAAAAACCCCCAATGGAATGCTGTTCTGTTTCAATCAGTTATAAGGATTGGCTCACACCAGTGCAACATAGACGAAGCAAGCTTAGTGAACATAAAAAAAAGTGCTAAATTTGCCACCAGATAGCGTTGTGATTGTATTACCGGTATTTGGAAGAGTCATTTTTGCAATATGTTCTATGGTTCCGCTTTGACTTTATAATCGATTGCATTCAGAACATAATTATGGAAATTTCCTGAGTGTCATTCAAACGTAGCAACTGAACAATTACAGCAGGACAGGAATAAGCGCTTGTCCAATAACTGTCTCTTATACACATCTAGATGTGTATAAGAGACAGATATTTCT